TTGTGATTCTGCTTCCAACTGCAGGCAGACAGAACACGTCCAGCTTCCCGAGCATGAAAAAATTCGTAGACATATGTGAGATTTTGGAACTCGCAAACGGTGGGACCGTTCTCCCGACAGATGGTAAGAGACGGCCACGGGCCCTCCTGCGCATGCCAACGGCACGACCTGCCCCCATCCATCCCGTAGAGGTCAGTGCCTCTCTCCCTCCTGCAGCCTCGTGTGCCCACACCATCCTGCCCTGAGAGCCAGCGTCCACCCACCCGTCCCCTCGGGGCTCCACCCGCGGTCGCCCTTGACACCGGGAACATTGTTGAAGACTGCAGGTCTGCACATCCAACGGCCTGTTCAGACGCGTTGGATGACCCCAGGCCTCTGATGGGGTGACGTCCAGGGCCACGGCTGTAGCCCAAGAGGGTTCCTTTATGATCTTGAAGAGATGGGGGTAGGAAGGGGGTAGGAGGGCAGGTGTTGACCAGGCAGGGGGATGCCCGACTGGGCCCATTCTGCCCACGCCCTCTAGATTACACGGCGAAAAGGGGCTGCCACACTTCTGTCCTGGGAAACAGACCACGGCTACTGGACCAATATCGTCCTTCTGTATGCCTCCTGCACAGCGCGTCTGCCACCAGTCCCCGTGGGCCCTCACGTCCTACACTTGCTCACGGAGTCGTTCACTTATTCGCCCAACATTTCTAAGCACCTGTGACATGCCAGGCACGTGCTAGCTGCCGGGGAGAGGCAAACTAGCAAATGCGGGTTCAGAGACCTGATGCCAGGACAGGCTCGCACCAGCGCAGCTGCCCATGCACAGGACCGCAGACTCGGGGAAATGTGTCTGGAGAGAGTGCCAAACAACGGCAGGTCTGACTCACGCCGGGTGGGGCAGGAGGGGTCAGGGAGGGCTTCTTGGAGGAAGGGACATTCGCAAGAGAGCTGAAGCACAGAGGTAGTTAAGGAAGTTCGGTGGGCTTCCGCGGAAGACGAGACCACTTTTGAAAACCCCAGAGGGGTGGAAGTGGAGGGAAGGGTGAGGGGAGAGGAGAGCACAGGCCTTGGAGGGAGGTTCAGTCCGAGGATAAGGAGCACCGGGCAGACTCGGGAGCTGAGCTTGGACACCAGGACTCCCAAACGGAGATGCCACGTGGGGGCTGGAGTTCAGAGGACAGAGAGACGTGGGAGCCGGACACGTGCAGTCACCAGTATGTACTTGGCGATGCAATTCGCTGGTGCGGTTAGGGCCACCCAAGGAAAACACAGTAGAATGGCATCTGTCGGCTACTGCCACGTAAGGACCACCCACTGGGTCTCTGTGCTAGGAACCGACACGAATGCACTTAGCTTTCCTGTCTGTGGCAGCATGGGGTCAGGTGGTGCAGGCCGGCCCTGCTGGGTGGTGGGGGTCTCCGCAGCTTGCGACCGCATTGGGGTTGGCTGGCCGTGACTGGTTCGGGCCGGCTCTGCTGCCATTGTCCCCCTCCCACCGAGGGCGGCCACGTCCGGCTTGTCTCATGGCCACGCCGAGGCCACAGCAGGCGAGGCCACAGCAGGCTGGGAGGAAGGGCTCAGCACAGGACTGCATTTCTGCCTCAGCGGCTAAGTGAAGCATGTCGAGGGGCCAAACCCCAAGTGCAGAAGGGCCTGCGGGATGCACGTTGCTTCCTTGGCGGGAGAAACCGCCCGTTCCCGGCCAAGGGTGCAGGCGCAGGAAGACATGGCCCGTCCGGCCCCCGAACCCTGTCTGCAGCAGCATCGTGCTCTGCCCCGGGAGTCAGGCCAGGTGTCCTCACCCTGTGCCCCACCCCAGAGCCCCACGTCCCCTCTGATGGGGGGCAGTAGGATCGAATCCGGGGTCTTGTGACCACAGAGGCCCCTTGATACCACAGGGCATGAGGCCTAGGTGGATCCCCACGTGCTCAGCACCCGTGGGGGAAGAGACAGCGAGGCCCCAGGGAGCACCAGCGGTGGAGCCGGGCAAGAGTGGCCACACGCACAGCAGCTCAAGGTCTGACCGAGGCGGCACGGGGACCTCGTTCCTCCAGGACGTGAGTGGTTCCCGGCCCATTGTTCCCTGGCTCTGCCCGCTGAGACCCCCCTTCCTATCCACACTTGTGGGGAAGGCGCTGGGGGGCAGGCCTGTCTGCACAGAGCACGCCCCGGAGGCCCTTCGGAGCTCCGCTCTTTGAAACACTGTGGGTTTCTGTGTAGGCAAGCCTGCTTCGTTCCAGCTGCCAGAAACCTCACCCACAGTTCCTGAGGCCACGGCCTCTTTCTAGATAGTTCCTTATTAGAACGTGGAGGATACCAGATCCCTGAGGGACAGGGTCCCCACACCCTAGATGCCCTCTGCACAGCTTAAGGACTGACCGTGCACACCAAAATTCTCCCAGAGTCTGACAAAGACACGATCCGAAGTGTGCTTGCAAGAACAGACCTTCTGTATCTCACAGTTCCTGTACCAGAATCCCGGCTCCGCTCAGGGGGAGCCTCTGCCTCCAGGTCCCCCAGGAGGCCGGGGCTGCAGCCTCCGCTCAGGCTCGACCGGGGCAGGCTCTGTCGCCAAGACCGCTCACGTGGTATCGGCAGGATTCGGTTCAGAATGGGGGCTCAGGACTTTTCTGTCAGCCTGCACCCTCTGTGGGTTCGTAGGACTGGGGTCTCCCAGGGCAGCACATACTGTCTGGTCTTGCCTCTCCGAAGCACAGAATCAAAGAGAAACACAGAAAGACAGAAACACAGAGACGGAGACAGAGTATGAACACAGGAGAGAGGGAACCAGGTGAAGTCCCACTTTCCTCCATCAGCTTGGAAATGACATCCCAGTATTTTGCCCCATTCTCTTCCTGAGCACGTGGTCACACAGGCCATCCACCCTGGAGGGGAGGGGATTCCACAGGGATGTGTGAGCAGGATTCGGGAATGCCTGGGAACCACTGTGGGGATTGCCCAGCACGTGGGTGCACACGAGGCCCTGGGGCCTGAGCCTAACCCTAATGGGAGCCCCTGGAAGTCTGCGTCACCAGGGGACAAGGTTAGAATCCGTTCATTGCAAACTTCCGTCAGGGGCTGGGACACAGGCAGGAAGGGAGTGGCGTTGCCTGGCTCCCAGAGCAGACCAGGGCCCTCTGAGCTGTGCTCCATGCCCCACCCAGCCCCTGGCTCATCTTTGCATTGTCCACTGTGCACCAGCCTCCTGTGATAGCAGGTACGGAACATGTGTAGAGGTCCTACCCCTGATGGCGTCCCTAGAAGTAGAAGCCAGAACACCCCACTGTGCAGATGGGGAGCCTGGGGAGGCCCTGAGAGGCACAGGGTCTCTCCATGGTCACAGCCCTGGGCACGCGCAGGAGCCCAGTCTGAACCCAGCTCTGTGTCCTCACACAAGGGCCGCACCCAGGCCTTGCGGGGGCTGTGGGTGCGCTGTGAGGGTGTCACTGTATGGATGGGGCATGGGGGGAGGGTGAGCATTGAACAGCTGGGGGAGGGGCCCTCGGGGGTGGGGCTCTTGTGTGAGGAGGAAGTTGGGTAAGGGGACCCCAGCCGTGGTGACCTCACTTCCCAACACAACAGAGCCCATCAGAATTTGGAACCCAGGTAACCAGGAACCCACATTCTAGAGACGGCCCCCGGCCCAGCTCATTTCGTTACAGATCCTCAAACCAAGATGTTCACATGCTGCCTTCCGAGGTCCGGAGGCTGCAGGCTGAAGAAAGCGCGCCCTGCGAACGCTGTCTCCACACGATGTCCTGTCAGGGCTCCCCACCGCCTCTGGCCCTTTGGCCGGAAAGACCAAAAGGTGACACCAGGAGGCCCAGAGCCGGCCACCCAGCCCCACAGGGTCTAATCCACCTGTGCAGCCCCAGGTCCCCACCCGTGTGTGTGTGCGTGTGTGTGTGTGTGTGTGTGAAGAGGGGTCATGTGCGGTGGGCCAAGCCCCTTCAAGAGCAGGCTGATGAGGGGTCGGATACCCAGTGGGCCAGTCGTTTCAAGGTCAAGGCTGGCTGGGTGGGACGGGGTGTGTGCGGCTGCGAGCTTCCGCCCAGTGTTTATCCCAATTGCCCTGCGGGGATGGGTCACTGTCCAGTGTGCAGGGCTGTGCATGCACAGGTGTGTGTCTGATCTGCGAGCAGCAGGGGAACTAGGCAGGGGGACAGGGAGGTTGGCCGGGCAGTGCTGTGATGCCTCTGGGCTGGCTACCGGTCCCTGTCTTTGCAGACAACAGATGAAATCGGGAGGAGGCTTGCGGACACCCGTTCGATTTCCGGGTCCTGGGGCGTGACCCCACAGAGGTCCCCAGGAGCAGGTGCTGGGGATCGCGGGGGAAGGCCTCCGACACCACCCAGACCACTGCCCTGGTGGTCATTGACTGGATTGTGCTCCGGGAACGGAGCCCACGGAGACCGAGCTCGAGGCTGAGAAGCCTGGGGCTGGGTGCCTGTGGGTGTGTGGGGACGGGTCGGGGCTGGCCCCACAGGGAGGAGCCCCCAGAGGCTGGTGTGGGGCCAGGAGCAAAGACTGGGTGCAGAGCACCCAGCGGGTGGACTGCAGTCGGGGAGACGTCCCGGGGAGGGCTCCTTCCTGGCTGCGGCTTCTCGGGGAGGCCCTGGCCTGGGCTCTATCTTGCAAAGGCCCATGGAGAGCAGGCACAGGGTGAGCTTTTCTCCTCTCACAGCTGTTCCACCATCAGCAGCTGTGCAGGGAGGGGTGGTGCCTGCAGAGACTTCAGCAGGAGACCAGGAGCCAGCAGGTGACCCGGCACCTGCCCACGGAGAGCCTGACGTGGACCAGGAAGGGCCTGCTGGAGAATCTGTGCCCGGAGAGCCTGCCCCTGTTCTTGCCACTGTTCCTACCAGAGCCGGTGCCCCTGCGCCTGCCCTGAACTGTGGCCCTGCTCCTTCCCCAGACCCAGCTCCTGCCCTGGATCCTGACCCTGTCCCTCCCCTTGCACCTGCCCCTTCCCCTTCCCCTGCTTATGCTCCTGTTCCGACCCCTGAGCCAAGTCCTGCCCGTTCCCCTGCCCCTGCCTTTGTCCCTGTTCTTGCCCCTACTCCTGTCCCTGCCCCTGCCCCTGCCAGAGCCGATGGCCCTTCCCCTGCCCCTACTCGTGCCCTTGCAGCTGCCCCTTCCCCAGCACCTGCCTGTGCAGCTGTTCTTGCCCTGCTCTGGATCCTGACTCAGCTCCGGCCCTGGATCCCGCCCCTTCGCTTGCCCCTGCCTGTGCTCCTGTTCTTGCCCCTGACCTGGGTTCTGCCCCTGCGCCTGCCCCTGCCTGTGGTCCTGTTCATGTCCCTGACCCACCTCCGGCCCCTGCACCTGCCCCTTCCCCTACGTGTGCACCTCCTCTTGCCCCTGACCCAGCTCCTGCCCTGGATTCTGCCCCTTCTCCTGCCCCTGCCTGTGCTCCTGTCCTTGCCTCTGACCCAGCGCCTTCCCCTTTCCCTACCCGTTTCCCTGCCCCTGCATGTGCACCCATTCCTGCCCCTGACCCACCTCCTGCCCCTGCACCTCTCCGTTCCTCTACCTGTGTCCCTGCCCCTGCACCTACCAGAGCCGATGCCCCTTGCCCTACCTGTGTCCCTGTCCCTGCCCCTGCCCCTGCCAGAGCCGCTGCCCCTGCCCCTGCTTTCCAGGGCCGCTGCCCCTTCCCTTGGCCCTGCCTGTGCTCCTGTACTTGCCCATGACCCAGGTCCTACGGTGGATCCGGGCCCTTTCCCTGCTCTTGCATCTG